CCCCCCCCTCCTCTCCCAGCCCCTTAGCTCCTCGTTTACATATCTCCAAAAGATGTAATTGAATTAAATAAAGCTTTCCTTCGGGGCAGCTGCCACAGCTGCTGTTTGTGGCATGTCAAAAGGCCCGCCACTTTAAGAGCACTTACATATGCTCCAAATTAGCAGGTCAGATAGGCGGACGCACGATGACAGGGCCGAGGCTGCCAGCGCGACAAGGGGCCCACAGCTGTGAGCAATTCAATGCAGAGTGGGGGCTCTTTCAGACCCCTGATTATGAAGGGCAGCATTGCACGTGCTCATACACACACATGCATGTTCACAGGCGTTTAAATGCAGGCTCATAGACAAACACATATTCATAGATGTAGACACAGAGGTCACTGCAGTGTTTAGTAAGAATGACTGGTTTATTGGAGGATGATGTTTATGGTGACCCTGAGGAATCCTTTAGAAAACACTTATTAGAAATAAGGAAAAACAAATCAAACTGTCACAAATAATCATCTGTTACAATTGTTTGTGTCTGTCACACATCTGCTCCTTGTATCAAGATGGAGAAACACAAATGGGGCGTGTGCGTCGGACAGTGAACGAAGAAACTTGAAGTTGATTCCAAAGATAATTTGTTTAATGACTGCATGCATGTTTACACATATTTTCTGCTTACATTGTTGTTGATTTACTTACAACTTTTTGACAAATGTAGTTCACTGCCTAGATTGACATTTTAATGTACTATATTATTGTATTTAAAAACGTTATTTCCAGGTTTGAAATGCTCTTGCTACTGCTTTATATGGTTGTTACTTTGCACTATTTGAACACTGATTCATTGTTTTGTGGCACTTAATTTGTTTTCTTATTATTACCTTATATGTTTTTTTTTTATTATTAACTTAATATGAACAGTATCTACTGCAAATACTTATCCAGCACAGTGGATTTGAAATAAATGTGGCTTTGAGTGATAGGTAGACAGGCCCCTATCATGGAAGACATTTCGAAATGTCATTGTAAAAAAGAAAAGTAGAATGAGTGGTATTGGGTTCATGGTATTGTGCTTGCTGGCTCTCAGTCACTCTTACAAGGACACTTTAAAAGAACAGAGCCAACGTTAATGTGATAACATAGGTTACATTTTCTATTGAGGTCATGTGGTTCAATATGTGAGTGAAGATATTTGCACTCTTGGCCATGAAAGACTTCTTGGTAGTCAAGCATGATCCTTCTGAATTGTCCTAAAATTGGGTACCTAAGTTACCTTGATATCAAATATTACAATGTAGATGAGAACAACCTCAAATCCTAGCTGAACAAGAAGTTCAACCCACAGTCAAACGCAATGTGCACTGCCCTTATCCTTACTTGAATATGTCTGATTAACGAAACGTTGCACAAATAATAAAACAGAAAAGGAAATATTTGTGCTTCAGAAACGTTGCTGTTTATCGAGGGTTTGGATGTGATGTGCAGAGGCCTTTTAAAATGATGTCAACACTTTACTTCAGTTATGTATCCAGCGAGACACGCCTGTCACATCGTAATCAACCGTTGTGAACAATCATCTAATGACTTGTCACTCAAGGTCTGCTGGGCAATTATGATGCATTTGCATGGCAGTGAATGGTGTTTATGACAAATAATCCATGTCCTAATTGCTTGTCTGTTTTCCTTAAGACGTGTAGTGCTGATAGGATGTGATTAGCTGGAGGCTTAAGAGTAAAGCAAAGTCGGCACTGATCATACTGGTTATCTTTAGCAGCAGAGGGCGGACTTTTGAGATTGTATTGAATCTTGGGAGCTACTTTTGCGTTGTTTGCTTGCTCTTTGCATACCTACATTTGAATTGTCCGAACCAGATCCTCGTTTAGTTTGTACACATTTTGTGGCAATCTAAAGCTGTAAACAGTTGGTTGAAGCATGGAAATAAATGAACAACGCAGTATTAAGGAGAGAATGTTCTGAAGATCTGAGAGCACACTTTATTATACTGTTATGACAAAACTTTCTGATATTACTGAGGGTTTTTTCAGTTCAATTTGGGTTGTTGATGTATTTACGTCCTGATAAAACAAACAAGATTTTGTTATTTCAACAAACCAACGCCTACACGTTCTCATAATTACTAAAAACCAAGTCATTAGTCAGAGGAATTTGCTGCTTTATGACATTTTTAAGGAGGTTACAATGCGGTGAGACAACACAGAAAAGATTGTTCAAAATTGTAACACAACAGTAATGTGTGCATTGTTATAGAGGTGTCACAACATGGAGCTCTGAGTTACTGGAAATACACCTTACAGAAAAGAAAACATACAAGTGGCCGACTTTCTTTTTCTTCTATCAGAAAAAATACCAAAGTTGTGGATTACTAACTTTGATTGATATACTTCAAATCATAATATGAAACACCTTGACTTTGGAAGAAAACGTACGACTCACATTACATTCTTGCTCATGACTCTAGTTCACTGTAGGTTATTTATTATGGGCAATGCATACAAACACAAGTAAGCCCTTGAAACTTCAGAAAATAAACTTTATTATTCTTTAAAGACACACAACACAGAAAGCCTCATCCAACACTACCAACTCATACAGGCTCCCTTTTCTGTGTCTTGTGCAATTATAACACATTACTTGACTTCATCTGCAGACTCCTGCAGGAACAATATTGTCAAACACAATTTAGAATGAATTAATGGTATTTGACTAGACACCTTCATACCAGGGCACTCTCATTTTGAATATGAGGTCGTTATTGTTTCATGTTGTCCTGTGGCGGTCAGAAAGGCTGTGACTCAGCTGTTTGCATGCAACATTGGAGAATAATGGATGTGAAGGCACACCAAACACATCCGTTAAAAATGCATGAGTGCCCCCCAAAAACCCCCCTCTCCCTCTGCAGAATAGAGCTATCACTGGTGCCTGTTATCTCCCTTGAACCCCCAGGTAGAAAATGGTAATGATACCACTTAACATCGCTGCACATATGGAGGGAAAATGGAAATGCCAACAGCACCTCAACTATAAAGCAAATCAAATTGAAATATTAATCCGCTGATTAATATAACATTATGAGAGCCCATTCTCTTTGTTGTTAAACAACAAAGGGTTGCAAAATAAGCAACTGCCTAAGAGGTAAGGGGTTTAAAAGAGTCCCACAGAGGTGCTAAAGCCCCTTTCAAACATCATTACTCTGCATAATGTATTCCCTTCCACAGTGCTGAGATTTGATATTGATGTTTACTCATTTATTTTTTAATTAACGTTCGTTGTTAATGAATTCTTTGATGAGAGGCATTTTGTAAATCATTATCCTTGGAAGAGGAAAAAAGGGATGCATCGCTCTTGCCCCTTATACTCGTGACAGAAGAAAAAATGCTAGGTGTAAGGGGAAAAGTTGCAGGCGAGAAGTACGGCCATTGTTTAAAGTTTGTTTTTTGATGTGTTGATTTTTTTTCGCTCCCCCAGCCCTGTGTTGCTGTTTTTCTGATTGCATCTTCTATCTACAGGGATGAACGTTCGGAGCCGACAGGGACTGGTGCAGGAGTCTCTGTTTGAGAGAGCTGGTGTGGATACTTAGCTAATTACAGGAATATAACTCAAGGCTTTCGGAGAGTCGCTCCAGTGGGGGAGGACGGGTGCAGTTTTATCCACGGAGCCCTTGGTGGAACTCTGTCCTTCCCCTCTTTAATATTGATCACTGGGGATCTCTTGGAGGACACAAAGTAGGCTGGGAAAGTTTGTTGGACCAACATTTCTCCGTACTCTTTCTCAGAAGTGTCACAAATATTTGAATGTTCTTTCAATTACATGAGCAGAGTCATTTACTGCCCCATATCTGCCTTTCAGTGTCATAACATTCACTTTTGTTCTATAATATTAGGGATTAATATCACTATACCTATTCCCTTTGTAATGCAACTAAACCTAAAGTAATTTGAAAAACAATGTGACATAATGAATACTCTCAGACCACATTTTGTTTATCTTTAAACCGTTTTGGATCTTTATGCAAAACAATTTTCAAAGATTTAGTTCCATATTGTGTCAGCTATTTTGTTAAAATATTCCCAATATTGCCAAGGTTTGTTTAAGCCGAGTGACCAGATGTAACAAGATCACAGGCATGTTTTTTAACCAAAGAAAAATAAATAAAATGCGCTTGTCACTTTAATTTCCTATCACTAAACCGACAGCACTGGTCACATTTTTGGGTTGCCGGTTACCTGTAATCCCAATTAAAGAGATAGCCTACTGAACTCTGACAGAACTCCAGGTTTTATCGTAACTAGCCATAATACATGCCCAACTACAGTATAGATGAAAAATAACCATCAAGTGCTCCCATTCTCTCATGCATTCTTCTAGAATTAGTAGTACGGGAATTAGGACGCAGTGAAAGTCTGCTTAGGGAGGAAGTTGGATGGGTGGCTCAGAAAAACATTTGGCTTTCACCAAGGAAAGGGTTGGTTAAAGACTGGTTTAAAGCATTGAAAAATGCCTTAACTAATGTTGAATTGGGAGGGAAATGCATTTATTCATTCATAGACCTTGAGGATACACGCAGTGTGTTTGGTGTTTGTTGTTTACAAGAAAACTCCATAGGGCCCTTAAAGCAGAGAGGAGAGAGATCAGCAGGGATATGCATCATTTAATAATGATTTTCCAATATTGACAACGAGATGCAGGAAAATGTGGCAGAGCATTGTTTAGGGACTGTGTGCCTATGATACTGTAGGCTAGTCTCAGTGTGAGGTTTGGACCAGTTGGCCACGGATGAGTCTCAAGCCCCCAACCCATCTGGAGCCGTCTTGGAGATGAAGCGAAAACCTGGAGCCTGTCCATCTCTTGGCAGGGCCGGCTCTACACATACAAGCCTGATCGTCTCTAATCCCACCAAATAATTAATTGCTTAATTGGATCAATTAGATGTCCCAATAGGTCTTGGTGATGTGCGGTAGGTGAATCAAATAATTATGAATTAAATCTGAATCAATATTTGAAAGGATTGTGTGGTTGGTGTATGCAGCTTTCTTGAAGGCTGAGAGTTATTTGCATCCCAACACACGTTATTGAGACAATTCTACACAAGTTTCAAATAGTACTTAATATTAATTTGCTCATGTCACAATCTCATTTCAATCATGCAAGCACTTTTGAAAGTCTGCGTCACTCGACGACATTATGCAGTGCTTGTTTTTGAGACAGAAGAACTATTTTTATGACTTATGGCGTTTGCAGTATCTCAAAGATCGCACTGCTGTTTTTCTTCCTTCAAGCCAGTTTTAAATGGAGCCAAACTGCACAGCTTTAAAGGCACATTCATCAAAAAGCGAGTGCGAGTGCACTGCAGATGCTGCCACTTTTTCTTAAAAAAAAAAAAAGAAAAAAGATTGCAAGTAGAATTATGGCTTTTCATCAGCCGATAAATTTCACTTGTGATTAATTGCAACACTCACTTTTGGGATCACTTCTGCACAAAAGAGCATTTCTGCTTTGTAAAATTCATATAAAAGAAATGCAAATCAATGGTGTTCTTGGCACCAAACATATGCTGCCACAATGCCAACAAGCCTGCCCCTGACAACCCCAGCTGGGGGCTTGTAAGACTTGCTCTTGGCAAAAGACGTTTTTTCCACCCGCTTTGCAAATGATCACCAATTAATACGAACAGCATCCAATTCTAATTTTGCACCTGGTAAGATTGTGAGTATCTTGTAAAGCTCTTCTAAGCTATGCATCCAAATTACTGGATGTTTTCTCCCCTCCCTTTTTGGGCTTGCAGATAAAAATAAAAAAAAGAGATGGCAAAAGTCCATAACCCATCAAGACCGGCATTAGTGGAAACCATGAAAATGACCGTTTAGCTAGAAAGATGTTTTCATGTGCTTCAGATATGAAGAGAGAATTTGGCTGAGGGGGTTTCAGAGGGGAGAAATGCTTGTGTGGAATCTTTTATCCGGATGCAACAATATGATACTAATACAAAAACAGTCTGTTGGAATATGCCTAAAGAAAATACATTTTGTTTCCTTGGATCACACACAAGTGTATCCTTCATTATCTAAAAAGAAAGCCCAGTTTTCCTGGTTTCTTCAGTCTAAAAACTTTTAGGAGATGTAGGAGAGAGAGAACTTAGGGATGTGTTTATCACTTGGTAACACAGCAGCATCCATCCATGTGATGAATTCCACATATTTCCCAAAGAAATGAAACCATAACAATTGAAAGACGTTTCACGTCAGTAATTGCTCATCAGAGTTCTGAGCATCTCTCCCTCTCTTTCTCTCACTCTGAAATTGATACTCGCCATACGACTTATGATGGATAGGAAGCTTTAATGAGCTCTTACAAGCAATTAAGTAATCAGGGAACCCTGCTGCTCGGCGCTGGAGCTAGCAAGAGCTGTGACAAACGGAGGCCCATCAGCACTGTAATCAGCACAGGACACAGTCACCGCTGCTCACCACTCCCTAACCAAGGGCAGCAATGGGCAGAGCAGCAGGCTCCCATCTCATGTTATTGTTTTGTCTGCAAATAGTCTCTGAACTTTGTGACTCAAATACATGCTGCAGTTGGAATTTCCACATTAAATATATGTTTCACTGTTAAGGTGAAGTTGCTTTGTTGGCAAGAGACTTAAAAGAAAAAGAAATCATCAGAAAGTAGCGTGCCGCAAAGTGAATTAAGGTGCACCTCTCAGGTCTGAGCTCCAAACAGAGCAGTGACAGACAGACACCTTTATACTGCTGGAGCAGTAACGAGCAACAAGTTACAGGTGTAGGAGCTCCCAGGTGATCTTCATTAGGCTCACAAGGACACACCTGTTTGTGTGAAAATATTGGGAAAAAAGTAAAAAAACTTAAAACTGATGCAAATCTACCAACCAAAATCTGCAAAACAATACCCATTTGCATTTTTACATTACATGATATGTTGTTTTTCTCCTGATAAAACAGTTTCAGTATAGTTTTAATCAAACTTGTTTAATAGGCTCTAATTCGTTTTTTGCACTTAAAAAATATGTCTAACACTTGAACAAATATATTTTAAGACAGTAACCTTAATGGACATAACTGAGAAGGAAATCTCCGGTTTGTTCTTTCATGAACATGTTTCTAAAAATAGATCCCTACAAAACATTTTGTTTAATGATTTCCTATGTGACCATCATGTTTTCTCTCTAAAAATGTTGTTTCCATTTCTTCTGTCTTCTTAGTTGGTATGCTAAATAAAAGATCAATTATAAACATATAAAATAACTTAAATCTACAGTCTAACTAATGTCTGACTTACATCAGCATTTTTCTTTGTGTATGTGCTGTAGGTAAAACCAATCTGCTAAGTATTACAAATGATTTTACTTTAATTTAATGAATTTTATTTAGTAACTTTAACCACCTTACATGACCTTATTTTGCTATGCAGTTTGTATTTATTGCTGATTGCCGTTTCTCCTTTTAAGTCCCCAATTACTTTGCAAATGTTGTTTTTTACATTACATGTCATTTGTTAGACGCTTTTATCCAAAGCGACTTACACACAGTACTGTGGACAATCCCCACAGGAGCAGGTCAAGTTTCATGCCCAGGGACACAACGACATGCTGACTGCAGTGGGACTCGAACTTGTTACCCCCTGATTCGAAGTCCAGCACACTATCTACTGAGCCATGTCATCCCTACATATTTTATCTACAGTGGAAAAGTGCTCTATATGAATAAAGAGTATCTTATCTTAGCATAAAGACCGGAAGCAAAGCTCTCTCCTAATATGAGGTAACAATTTGTGAAAACATTTTATAACTTGCTACTAACTGTAAAACCACAACTTGTCTTTTAAGCATTTCTATTCGATTTCACATTGACGTTCTTACAAGATGCAACGTGTTAATTAGTGAGATGTATAAGTGATATTATTTTTAAACAGTCATAATGACCTAATGATCTCCAATGCATCAAAACTGTACTCTTTCATTTCTCAAGTATTGATAAAACCCAGTATTGAAACCCCTAAATTAGTTGAACGGGTTGATCTTAAGTGGGTTTAATGTGGTAAACAATTCATGTTGTGACAAGGAAAATACATTTCACTGCAGGATCCGTTTCTCTCAGCTCGCTGCTCACCCCGGGCGTCTGAGCAGCACGTTCTCAGTTTCACGTTCTCAGCTTCACGTTGTCACACACACCCCAAGCATGTTGGACGCCCCAGGGTGGCGTGACACGTCTCCCACACTCTCCGACTCCTCTGAATAATTCTGCCCCGACCATACGTTTCACATCTACGTTTTTTCATGGGGTGAGACAATGCATTGAAAATCAAATATGTTGCTTATTAATAGGAAGACTTTGGCGAACGCTACCTGGAGAAATGCTGGAGGGGAGAGCTGCTGTAGAGGAGAGGGACGCCTACAGTTTGGGTTCTCTCTCCTCGGTGCAAAAGAGGGGAAAAAAACAGCTGAGGGTGCAGATTTCTCATAGCTAAACTGGCACAGTTGATGTAGGTGCACACACACACACACACACACACACACACACACACACACACACACACACACACACACACACACACACACACACA